GGGGCTGGGGGAAGGAGAAGCCAGGAGTCACAATCCAGAAGGGACAGGGCAGGTCCCCGTGTGCCCATCCTCCATGAGAACAGATCCAAATAATCTTATTAGATTTACCGCTTCGTAGCAGCACCAGCTTCTGGTCACCAGCTGCTGCTTCCTGCCACCCCCAGAGGTGAAGTCAGCTCTGGGGCCAGGCCCAGGCTGGGGTCAGAGACAGGCCAGGAGGTAGAGGTGGCTGCAGGGCGAGGTGCTTGTTCCTCCAGACCCCAAGGGCTCTCAGCTGCCCTATTCCAGGCTGTCTTCCCTCTGCACCCCCATCGCAAACTGCACCTCAACCCAGGCGCTCAGAGCAGCGCATGGCCTGGCTGAAGGGGTAGGGCAGGGGACGGAAAGCCCAGAGCCTGCAGGAGCTGCAGTCTTGGCCATCACTTCCTAGGGGAACGGTTCAACAGTCCCATCTTGCTCAATGCTCACAGGAGCCCTCAAGGGGACTCTGTTTATCCCCATTTTACAGACAAAGAAAACAGGCCTGGGGCCCGGCGCAGTGGCTCATGCCTGTAATCCCAGAACTCTGGAAGGCCAAGGCAGGCGGATCATTTGAGGTCAGGAGTTCAAGACCAGCCTGGCCAACATGGTGAAACCCTGTCTCTACTAAAAATACAAAAATTAGCTGGGCGTGGCGGCGCGCACCTGTAATCCCCGCTACTCGGGACAGTGAGGCACGAGAATCGCTTGAACCCAGGAGGCAGAGGTTGCAGTGAGCCGAGATTGCACCAGTGCACTCCAGCCTGAGGACAGAGCAAGACTCCATCTCAAAAAGAAAGAAAGAAAAATAGGCATGGAGAGGTAACCAGCTGGGGTTTGAGACTGGAATGGGAGGATCGGATGGATGACCACTCTGGACAGGTTCAGGGGGTGACAAGGAGGCCTTGAAGACTGGGAAATGAGGGGATCCCCAGGTGAGGGGCATGGCCCATTCAGAGGCAGGAGACTGGGTTATGCCCCCTGGAGCAAGGTGAGATGCAGCCACAAGAAGGTAGGCCAGGGCCTGTTTGCGGTGGAGGGCAGTGAGTGGTTAGAGAAAGGAGGCCTCTGGCTCTGGATGCTGGAATGAGTCAAGGCGAGACAGGTCTGGGACACGTAGCAGTTTCTCAAAGCAGTGAGAGGGCACAGCAGGCCGACGGCAGGCCTGGCAGGCACGAGCAGCTGGTGGTGCGTGTGTGCAGAACATGAGATAAGGCCTGCCTCCTCCCAGGGCCAGTGCCAGGAAGACGGAAACCAGGGAGTCCGGAGAGGGTCAGGCCCAGGGCAAGCCAGGATCTTAGAGGTCTGCGGCACTTCCAGATGCAGGCCTGGGCCGGGTGTGGTGGGTCAAGCTTGTAATCCCAGCACTTTGTGAGGCTGAGGTGGGGGGGGAGATCACTTAAGGTCATGAGTTCGAGACCAGCCTGGTCAACATGGTGAAACTCTGCCTCTACTAAAAATACAAAAATTAGTCAGGCATGGTGGCGGGCACCTGAAGTCCCAGCTACTCAGGAGGCTGAGGCAGGAGCACCGCTTAAGCCTGGGAGGTGGAGGTTGCAGCAAGCTGAGATCTTGCCACTGCACTCCAGCCTGGGTGACAGAGTGAAACCCTGTCTCAAAAAAATTAGGTCACACACAGTGGCTCATGACTCTAATGCGAGAACTTTGGGAGGCTGAGGTGCGCAGATCACCTGAGATCAGGAGTTCGAGACCAGCCTGGCCAACATGGTGAAATCCCATCTCCACTAAAATACAAAAATTAGCTGGGCGTGGTGGCGAGTACCTGCAATCCCAGCTACCTGGGAGGCTGAGGCAGAAGATTCACTTGAACCCGGGAGGTGGAGGTTGTGGTGAGCCGAGATTGCACCACTGCACTCTAGCCTGGGCAACAGAGCGAGACTCCGTCTCAAAAACAAAACAAAACTACAACATAGCTGTGTGCCCATGTGCACACACAGAGTCCCATGAGCTCACAATACACACATACACACAATACTCACACACACAAACACAATCACAATGCTGAGAAAAATGCTCACTTAGGTCACGTGGGCCACACTAACTATGCAGAGTCACAATCCGGTTATACACCCACAGTCTCCAGCACATTAGCCTCGATCTCTCTCCCCTCCCGGGTGCTGTGTGTCACTTGGTCCGTCCCTAATCTCGGTGGTCTCTGAGCTGTCCTTCCTCTTTTTCCCTGCAGCCTCGGGGTCCTCCCCAGGGAGGCCTGGTTCTTTTCCTCACCATGGGTGGAGAGAGGGCGAGAGGAGGGCTGCTGACTCTTTTCGTAGCTCCGCCCACCCTGGAAGCCGCCCCTGGCACAACGCACTGTGGGTGATTCCTCACCCCAAGGCACCTGGCCGGGGAGCAGAACCCCCTTGTGGACACTGCTGTGGGCTTGGCCCGGCTAGCTGGGGCCATGGCCAAGCAGGAGGCTGGGTTTCAGGGGAAGGTGACTGAGGCATGTCTGGCGCCAGTACGGACTCTGGGGAACTCAGTCCCCTCATTAGGAGGGAGGCACAGTCACTGCCACCCATACCTGCTCCTGATGCAGGAACACAGAACCGATGCTGGGGTTGCCAGGGCTCCTGGCTCCTAGTGGCATCAGCGGGGAAACTGAGGCCTGAGGCCAGGCATGGTGGCCTATAATCCCAGCACTTTGGGAAGCCGAGGTAGGGAGATCACTTGAGTCCTGGAGTTTGAGACCAGCCTGGGTGACATAGTGAAACCCTGTCTTTACAAAAATACAAAAATTAGCTGGGCATGGCAGTGAGTGCCTGTAGTCCCAGCTACTCAGGAGGCTGAGGTGGGAGGATTGCTTGAACCCCGGAGGTGGAGGTTGCAGTGAACTGAGATTGCAGCACTACACTCCAGCCTGGGTGACAGAGCAAGACCCCGTCTCAAAAACAAACAGCCAGGCATGGTGGTTCATGCTGAGGTGGGGGGGAGATCACTTAAGGTCATGAGTTCGAGACCAGCCTGGTCAACATGGTGAAACTCTGCCTCTACTAAAAATACAAAAATTAGCCAGGCATGGTGGCGCACGCCTGTAATCCCAGCTACTTGGGAGGCTGAGGCAGGAGAATCGCTTGAACCCGGGAGGCGGAAGTTGCAGTGAGCTGAGATCATGCCACTGTACTCCAGCCTAGGTGACAGAGCGAGACTCCATCTCAAATCAAAAACAAGCAAAGAGAAAAACAACAACAAAAAAGAAACTGAGGCCTGGAAGGGACCGGGGGTTTGACCGCAGTCCCACTGGGCATGGGAGCAGAGGGGACTTCCTGAGTGTTAACCGTCCTTGTAACAGGAAGCGAGAGAGAGGGAGGCTCGGGGAACCAGAGGCCACCCGGTTCAAACAAGACGCACGCCTGCCAGGCATCATCCTTCATTAATACGATATAACTTCCTGAGTTCCCTCTGGTCTGCCTGGGGACCAGACAGCCTGAGGCGGGACCACGTGGCAGGACCTGGAGCCCACATGCACAGGCACCCCTAGAGCAGGGCTGTGGGGTCCCTTAGGGAGCCACGGTAGGGCTGGTACTTGGGCGTTCATCCTGCTGGAAGCTGCGGGTGCCAGCTGGGCATGGGTGATAGGGAGATGGGGGGAAGGGGCAAAGGGGTTGTGGTCACACGCCAGGGTACAGAGAAGGCAAGACTGCAGCTGCCCACAGTCCAGTCCTTGGGTTGGACACATCCCTCCTGGCCTTGGACATGAGACATCTGCACAGGCTTTCTCCTTGTTACAAAGACCAATCTGGGATGTGCTGCGGGCTGAGGGCAGCCACCAGGCCGGTGAGGCCCGTGTTACCTCACGCACAGAGGAGGCGACTGAAGTCCACCAGCTCCCTCTCCTCGCCTGGGTCCATCATGCAGCAAGGAAAAAGGTGGTCAGACGGAAACAGGAAGTCAAGTCAAATGGATTTGAGACTGCCCCCCGATAAACAGCGGGGCTCAGAGAGGGTCTCCGAGGTTTTATCTGGCCCTTTGGGGCTGGGAGGCTGCCTGGGAAGCCACGGACTCCGTGGGAAGGGAGACTCGTGAACGCCGTGCGGGCAGTGGGAGCACGTGGGTCTGTCGCACTGGCCCGAGGCTGCAGCGGCGGTGACTTGGCTGTGTTTGGGGAGGGTGGGGGATGCATGGCAGCAATGTTGGAGTTGTTGTGGACAGCTTCCTGTGATCAAAATATGATTCCTGAAGGTCAAGGTCACCAGGGGCCTAGGGGTGCTGTGCAAGAAGTCAGAGGGTGGCCCAGTGCTACCCTTCCATGATGAGCCGTGGAAGTCACCCAGGCCTGTTCCTGACAACTGGACACCAAATACGCCCCTTCATGCTTCCTTCTCGGGTCTCTGCAGGATGAGCTGGGTGCCCAGGGACAGGCTCGAGGGACTGGCATGTCTTTCTCTGGCCAAGCCTCCTTCCTCAGTTTTCTGGAAGGAGTGAGTTTTGTCCAGGGACTAGAACTCTCAGTGGTGTCTGGAAAACACTACATCAGAGAGGAATTTCCTGGTCATTTCTCAATCCCTGGGCAATGTCCTAAGCCCCAGGGCCTGAAGCCCAGAATAGATCCCAGAGGCCACCCTGAGACAGCCCAGGCCAAGGCCACCCCACTGAAGCCCGGTCAAGTGTGTGCCCTTCAGGTCCCTCCTAGCGGTCGCCTACTACCCCAAGAGGCTCCAAGCCTAAGTGATGGTGACTCAGGAATTTCCCACCCAGGCCAGAGAGGGAGACACTGGGGGAGGGAGGAGTCCTGTGTGTGGGGAGGTGGCAGGTGGCTCAGTGATGGGAACCAAGAGAGGATGTGGGGAGGACAGTGGAGGCAGCAATGGGAGATGGATGTCCTGGGTTGGGCGGGTGGATGGGGAATGGGGAGTGTGCCAGGGGGCCCTCTGGAGAACAGTGAGGGAAGGCGGGGCAGAGAGAGGAAATGAAAAAGCTGGGGTGAGCAGGCAAGCTGAGGAGGGTGGGAGGGAGGGAGGGAAGGAGGGAGGAGGGAAGGAGAAGCTGACACACAGACCGACACAGGCAGCGAGAGACACGCGGAGCAGAGCAAGTGAAGGGACAGACGCGCGGGACAGGAGAGCCTGGGCAAGACTGGAGAGGTGCGGTGAGGGGCTGGGGAAGCAGCAACACAGAGCAGGAGCGGGTAGAGGGTGTGGAGTTAGAGGGAGAAAGGTACGGGGAGGACAAGGACAAGGGAGGGGACGGAGACAGGGAGATAACAGCAAGAGACCGAGAGACAGAGAAGGAAAGAACTGGTGATGCCCGGATGTTCTCTGTCTCTTTAATGGCAGAAACAGAGCTAGAGAAGGAAAGAAATAGGAGGTGGCGGGGTGCCAGCCATGGTAGCTCACGCCTGTAATCTCAACACTTTGGGAAGCCGAGGTGGATAGATCACCTGAGGTTAAGAGTTCGAGACCAGCCTGATCAACACGGTGGAACCCCATCTTTACTAAAAATACAAAAATTAGCTGGGCGTGGTAGTGGGCGCCTGTAATCTATCTACTCCAGAGGCTGGGGCAGGAGAATTGCTTGAACCCAGGAGGTGGAGGTTGCAGTGAGCCGAGATCATGCCATTGCACTCCATCCTAGACAACAGAGTGAGACTCCATCTCAAAAAAAAAAAAAAAAGAAAGAAAAGAAAGAGAAAAAGAAAGAGAAATAGGAGGGCGGGGAGAGACAGAGAGAGAGAGAGAGATATGGGAGAAGCCAGAAGCGAGAGGACTACATACACATTCACAGGAGAACTGGGGGTTGACTGGGAGGCCCCAGCTGCCACAAGGACTGGCCAGTAGGGACACCTGAGTGGGCTGGGTGGTGGGGGTAGTCTTGGCTCCCTCTGACCCCACACCTTCCACCTTGGGAACCCTCCAGCCCAGACCTGGGATGGCAGATTCGTGCAGGAACCTCACCTACGTGCGGGGCTCGGTGGGGCCGGCCACCAGCACCTTGATGTTCGTGGCCGGCGTGGTGGGCAACGGGCTGGCCCTGGGCATCCTGCACGCGCGGCGACCGGCGCGCCCCTCGGCCTTCGCGGTGCTGGTCACCGGGCTGGCGGCCACCGACCTGCTGGGCACCAGCTTCCTGAGCCCAGCCGTGTTCGTGGCCTATGCGCGCAACAGCTCCCTCCTGGGCCTGGCCCGGGGCGGCCCCGCGCTGTGCGATGCCTTCGCCTTCGCCATGACCTTCTTCGGCCTGGCGTCCATGCTCATCCTCTTCGCCATGGCCGTGGAGCGCTGCCTGGCGCTGAGCCACCCCTACCTCTACGCGCAACTGGACGGGCCCCGCTGCGCCCGCCTGGCGCTGCCAGCCATCTACGCCTTCTGCGTCCTCTTCTGCGCGCTGCCCCTGCTGGGCCTGGGCCAACACCAGCAGTACTGCCCCGGTAGCTGGTGCTTCCTCCGCATGCGCTGGGCCCAGCCGGGCGGCGCCGCCTTCTCGCTGGCCTACGCCGGCCTGGTGGCCCTGCTGGTGGCCGCCATCTTCCTGTGCAACGGCTCGGTCACCCTCAGCCTCTGCCGCATGTACCGCCAGCAGAAGCGCCACCAGAGCTCGGTGGGTCCACGCCCGCGCACCGGAGAGGACGAGGTGGACCACCTGATCCTGCTGGCCCTCATGACGGGGGTCATGGCCGTGTGCTCCCTGCCTCTCACGGTAAGTCCCCCCGGAGCTGGGGGGAGTGGGGAGAGGAGGAGGGCAGCTCTGTGGGTTGTGCCCATGTCACAGATGGGGAGACTGAGGCTCAAAAGAGGTCAGACATCGTGGGCATGGTGGCTCACGCCTGTAATCTCAGCATTTAGAAAGGCCGAGGCAGGACTGGATGCGGTGGCTCACGCCTGTAATCCCAGCACTGTGGGAGGCTGAGGCGGGCGGATCACGAGGTCAGGAGTTCGAGACCAGTCTGGCCAAAATGATGAAACCCTGTCTCTACTAAAAATACAACAAATACATAAATGAAAAGTAGCCGGGTGTAGTGGCACATGCCTGAAGTCCCAGGTACTTGGGAGGCTGAGGCAGGCGAATCACTTGAACCGGGGAGGCGGAGGTTGCAATGAGCTGAGATCGTGCCACTGCACTCCAGCCTGGGTGACAGAGTGAGACTCCATCTCAAAAATAAATAAATAAATAAGAAAAAAAAAAAAAAGAAAAAGAAAGGCGAGGCAGGAGGATCACTTGAGGTCAGAGGTTTGAGACCAGCCCGGGCAACATGGTGAAACCCCATCTCTACGAAATATTTAAAAATTAGCCTGGCATGATGGCCTGTGCCTGTGGTCTCAGCTACTTGGGAGGCTGAAGTGGAAGGATTGCTGTAGCCTGGGAGGTCAAGGCTGCAGTGAGCTGTGATGACTACATCCCAGTCTAGCTGACAGAGCAAGACCTTGTCTCAAAACGAAAACAAAGAAAACAAAAACAAATCAGACAGAGGCTTGGTTCCCAGTCAGACAGATCCTGGCTTTCTGGAGACTTTCTGCATCTGACTTCTTCTGGTACCTTGTCTCCCAGCTCAGGCATCCTGAGCCCCCCGTAATAAAATGCATCCCCCCTCCTTCCCCTACCCCTGTAATGAAAAACCACCACTCATTGAGTGCTTCTCTATGCCTACCTCGTACTTAGTGGCTTACAGATACTTCCTAAGACAATTTTCAAAAGGATCACAGCCACCCATTCCACAGCATTTGGCAGGAAACCAAGAGAACGTTCTCTCTCATCCCCGTTTTTACAGATGAGGGGCAGTGTCTCTCGCCCACAGTCACACAGAGCCTGGTCTCGGTCCTGGGTCCTTCGATTGTAGAGCCTGATCTCCCACTCACCTGGCTCCCCTCTGCCTCAGAGCAGGCCCCACCCTTGCCTCCGCACCTCGGTTTTCTTCCGGGACTCCCGTCCTGCCCCTCCCCAATGGGAGTGCCACAGACCCCGGTACCTACTCAGTGTCTGTGACACCTGGTCGTGCCACCTTTCTTCTGAGCCTCAGTTTCTTTTTCTGTAAAATGCAAGAGCCCAGGCTGGATTGGGGGGTCCTTAAATCTTTTTTGGGGGTTACCCTGACTCAGAGACTCAGATGCTGTGGACAGATACACACAGGCACCACAACAGCTCTGCGGCAGATTCAGAGGGCCCAGCTGGGCGGCGCCGCCTTCTTGTAAGGACGTTATACTCAAACATCTGTGGAGCCTGGGGGTCCTCCCAGCTTCTAAGGTTGGGGGGACCCATATACCTGGCCCCCATTCCTCTCCCCTTAGGCATCTCTGGCAATTTCCTGGGACTTTCTCTCCCTGTGTTCCCCAGATGCATTTGTTACTTAGTTTTTATCTTCTCTCCTTCCCCTCTGACATGCCGCCCTTACCTCATCCCTGGTAAGCGAGTGGGAGGGGGGAGCCAGGGTGGGGAGGCTGAGGACTCCTGGGTGCTTCTTGACGCCCTCACCCTGCCCTCAGATCCGCTGCTTCACCCAGGCCGTCGCCCCTGACAGCAGCAGTGAGATGGGGGACCTCCTTGCCTTCCGCTTCTACGCCTTCAACCCCATCCTGGACCCCTGGGTCTTCATTCTTTTCCGCAAGGCTGTCTTCAAGCGACTCAAGCTCTGGGTCTGCTGCCTGTGCCTCGGGCCTGCCCACGGCGACTCGCAGACACCCCTTTCCCAGCTCACCTCAGGGAGGAGGGACCCAAGGGCCCCCTCTGCTCCTATGGGAAAGGAGGGGAGCTGGGTGCCTTTGTCGGCTTGGGGCGAGGGGCAGGTGGCGCCCTTGCCTCTCACACAGCAGTCCGGCGGCAGCACCGTGGGAGCATCGTCCAAAGCAGAAGCCAATGTCGCCTGCTCCCTCTGCTGACATTTGGAGCTGACCCTGTGATCCCTGTCTTCGAGGGACAGGAACCAGAAAATCAGGGACATGGCTGATGGCTGCGGATGCTGGAACCTTGGCCCCCAAACTCTGGGGCCGATTGGCTGCTGTTTCTCCTGCTGGCTCTGGGAAGAGAGTGCGGGACAGAGGAAACATTTATCCTGGAGCGCAGAAAGAATGGTTCTCTCAAAATAGCCAGTGGCCTGGCCGACCTGCTCTGGCCCTGGATTCCCCATCCATCTCACTGTCTAAATATTTAGCAGGCGGAGAAGTTCCCAGCGGCTTCTGTACACTCAGGTCTGCTCTGGTCTGGGCGCTGGCTGCAATCTGCGTCCACTTAGGGGGACCAGCTGCCCACCCCAAGTCCCCAGGGGACGGCCCTCCCCTCTACCAAGCCACTCCAAGAGCTAGCCCCTCTCTGCTCCACAAAAACCAGGGTTCTTGGAAAAGCTCCCTGCCTCCCCTTGCCGCTGGTCCCCCATCAGGCTTGGGAGCGCTGGCATCCCAAAGGGGCAATGGGAGGAAGAGGGGGCTGCTGCATCGTGGGTGACAACGCAGGACATGTGCTTGGTACAAAAAGGGCCTGAGACCTTCCACCTAGCTTGATGGGCTGCAAGATGAGAACTGTGAGGGTGCAGGTGGCGGGGAGACAGATGGAGAAGCTGGCAGATGAAGAGTAGGGGCTGGGGATCCCGGGGACTGCCCCAGAACAAAAACCTAAGTCCTGTGCCTGTCCCCAGGGTCCTGAATAAATAAATGCCTCCTTACAGAGCCTGACCTCATGTTATGTGTCCTTGGAGCCCTCGCAAAGATTTCTTTCATTCATTCATTCATTCATTCATTCATTCATTCATTCATTCAACAGATACTTGACTGGGCACCATAGCACATGCCTGTAATCCCAGCATTTTGGGAGGTTCAGGTGGAGGATCACTTGAGCCCAGGAGTTTGAGACCAGCCTGGGCAATATATCGAGAAGTTGTCTTTACAAAAAAATTTTAAAAATTAGCTGGGTGTGGTGGTGCACACCTGTAGTCCCAGCTCCCAGGGAGGTTGAGACAAGAGGATCACTTGAGCGTGGGAGGTTGAGGCTGCAGTGAGCTGAGATCCTGCCACTGGGTGATAGAGTGACACTCTGTCTCAAAAACAGAAACCAAAAAACCCTCAACCTCCCCCTGAAATTCAGCAGTGCTGATGGCCTGGTGTTAAGGACACAGACAAGCCTCCGCTCCACCCTGGGCCCCGCCGGGGTGATTTCCAGCCTGCCATCCCACTCGCTTCTCATAACCACTCCCTGCCCTCAGAGAGGCCCAGGATGGAGGGTGCTCAGGGGTGAGCTGACTAGCATGGAAGGAAGTGAGTAGGCGTTTAGGGTGGGGGAGGGTGAGTGGGAACTCTCCCCACCCAGCCCCACTGCACTGCCGGTCCCAGTTCCCCTTTCCCACTCTCCCTCTGTGTTAAAACAAAAAAATCCACACTGGGAGAGGGGCACGGTAGGTGAGGCCTGAGCCTCCCATGAGGACAACAGCAGCCAACTCCTCCAGGGGTGAGCGGCGCTTCCTCTCACTCCATCCACAGGGCAACCTATTATAAATCCCTTCCTTCCTTCCTTCCTTCCTTCCTTCCTTCCTTCCT